TGGGCTGGGGTTGGGGTGTTGTGGGTGGCGTTGACGGCATGGGCATCATCGGCGTCGACCGCCATTCCCGATCCCGCCCAACTCTACCCTTTGCAGAGGGCGACGCTGGTCAGTGGGCCTTGATCTTGATCCCGCCCCGGCACAGCTGTCCGCTACCCGCGTCACCATTTGGGCGTTGGACCCAACAATCCTTACGCGTGGCGTATGATTCTCCTTTTCATATCAATGCAGACGCCTTATTTCAAGACGCTGGCCACGCCCCCGATCAACGAGACGCTGCGGGACGCCGCTGCCCGCCGTGGCATCTTCGTGGGATCGGCCATCAACTACTGGGATTTGCAAAAGGACGCCGCCTATGCCCGCCTGGCCGCAGCACAGTATAACCTCGGAACCGCCGAAAACAGGTGATCGGCTTGCCATTCCAACTGCATCTGGGTCCAGCTGGCATTAAAATTCACACGCCCCTTTCACCTCGGTGCTTGTAGCTGCAAATTTGCGGCAACCGAGGGCCAGCCAGGCTCGTTCAATGTATCCGATTGTACTTCGGTGCTCAACTTTGCCCACGAACATGGCATGACCTTTCGGGCGCACAATCTCATCTGGGGCCGTTCCAACCCCGACTGGCTCGTTAATGGCTCCTACTCACCTGCTAATGTAGGTTCCATCCTCGCACCGCCCTCCAACTTTTGACTCCTCATTGTCCTTCACTGTGTATTCTCCATGCGCCAACGCCGTGTTGCTGTTCCTGTTTGGTATTTACATGTTAAATCAGCTGAGCACGCTTGAAGGCACCCATATTCAGCACGTCGTGGCCGATGTCGGCAAGCGCCCTTACTGTTGGGATGTGGTCAACGAAGCCATTGCCGATGATTCAGGTTTGTGATCAAGGTTTTTTTTTTTTTTTTTTTTTTTTCCAAATCGTTCCGCAACCAACCAGCCATCTCTCGATTCTTCTTTGGAGCTCTCAACCGTGCCGCCTTCAAATAGACAACAGCAGTACGCTGTTCAAGGCAGCAGATCCCTGGTATCCAGCCGTGGAAGACTATGTTTACAAGGCTTTTGCTGAAGCCCATGCCGCGGCCCCATCCTCGATCAAGCTGTTCTACAACGATTATGGCGCTGAAGGTCATTCTGCCTGTTTGACGCCGAGATGCTGTGCCTGTGTCTCTTACAATGCCGTAACCCTCTTTCAAGAGCACAAATGCCGCGGCGCGATTGAACCTTTTCTTTCCCCGAGCTTGTTCACCTCTCCAACCTTGCTCCCCTTTGGTGCTTTTTCTCCCGCTTCTTTTTCTTCCGCAACCTCAATGCGCCCTGCAACCTTTAGGCACGGGTGCCAAAGCGAGTCGGGTGATCCAACTGGTCAAAAACCTGCAACAGAAAAACATTCGCATTGATGGCATCGGTGGGCCTCATAATACATTGCTGCTCGGCCACGCCGCTGACCATCGGCCCAGCCTCACTGCCGTCGCCATCTCGTCGATGCAACACATGATAGGGTTGCAAATGCACGTCAGCACCGGCTACTACCCAAGCTTTGACAGTGTGAGCGCCAACATCAAAGCCCTCGGCGATTTGGGTCTGGAAGTCCACATTACTGAGATGGATGTCAAGTGCCCCACGTGCAACACCGTATGTCCACGCTGCGCATGGCCTCACGACACGACAATGCAAACACGTGCTTCACCCCGCGCTCGCCTTCTCAAATTCAAAAATTCATCTCAGACCCAAGGCCTTGAGCAACAAGCAGCCATCTACGGTGGCATGCTCAAGGCCTGTTTGGACAACGACAATTGCCGCTCCTTTGAAACATGGGGCTTTACAGACAAGTACGCTTCAGACAGAGTTATTTTCCCAGATTAAAGCTCGAAAGGATGCTCACACAACTCGTGGCCACCATGGTGCACAGATACACTTGGCTGGATCAAGACACATACCCCCTGCCCTTTGACAAGAATCTGCAACCCAAACCTGCGGTCGCTGAGCTCTTGTCCATCCTGCAAACCTATGCCCTGCCCCGCACGCCCGCCGCATAGCCAGTGCGTCTTGCCCCATCAGTTTATACAGCGAATATTTCTTGAGCTTGGTCACACACACGACAATGAAACGAGCCCAAGCCACCCAAACAGTCGGTGACGAGTCAGCAGGCGCAGATCGATGGACGAGTGAGTGTCTCAACGCGCGCCCACACACACACACACACACACACACACATCAAGCGTAACGGTCGAATGTCAGACTTCTTTCCCCACTTGTCGGCTGCATTTTATCAAACATTTCATACACTAAATAAAGCTTCTTTTGTAATGGTTTATTCAACAAGTCGTATTTTCTCTGCATCTTCCTTCGCGCGTGTATCTCATCATCTCGACCGACCAAACGACGACGGAACGATGGCGGCGATGGCGGCGATGGTGATCAGTCGGGCATAAAGCGTAGATGGAGTGCAGGGAGGACATGATGGGATGGAAGTCTTACGGAGTGCGCTGCCGGAGCTTCGGCGGTTGCGGGAAGTGCTTCCTGATGCTTTTGGAACCAAAGTGCGTCTGAGCATGGTCAACGTTTTGCGGTTTTGCAGGTCCTGCTTCGCTTGGCTTGACGCTCATCCCTCGATGCCATTCGTTCTGCAGGAGCAAGTCCGGGCCCTTGCCACGGATCGCAACCCGCTGCTCGAGCAAGTTCTGGTGGCACCTCTCCAACGTATGTCCACATGCTCCGCACAAACTTTTTCTTTGCTTCAAGGACCTGCGCACCAACCGCACACCTCGAAAGTCTACATGATTGTTCCCCTCTGCCGAGCTCGAGTGCTGTTGATCCTGCATTTTTAAACACTAACACTGTGGTTCGGCCCATTGCCAGCGGATCAACCGTGGCAACTAGAGGCTGCTTTGCTGCAGGGTAGCAACCATCATCCCGAAGGCCTTCAATCTGTTCTCAAACGTGCCGTCTACGGTGAGCATCAAGGCTCAGGCATGCGCCCTGTTCCTTGTGCCTGCTTCCTTTCACACTTGCTCATCCCATTGCATATTAACAGAAGTTCTTGTCCATCAAAACGCGAGTGATAACGTGTTGGTCCGTGGATATCGTTGCTCTCGTCAAGATGCCAGCGAAGGTACCGTGCAAGGGCTTCCGGCAATCCAGGTGAGCCAGAACCTAGATCCGAGAGATCCGAGAGAGAGAAAGCCAAAATTGTTTCCACACGCGAATGCACACACCCTCACATGTTCTCTTCTCAGTGTTTTTACCCAAACACGAGCCACAACACGATTCTGGCATCGAATCATTGGCGCCACCTACTTCAAGTTTGCGGCGACGTTGCTTTGGTCGCACTTCTGAGCCACTGCTATGTGTTCCAGAACACGACGGCAGGATGCTGCATTCAAGTATGCACGCACTTGCTTTTTTTTTATCGCCCCTCTGTCAAAAGCGTTCGTCTTCTACTCTGATCGCGATCCTTGATCACATCTCCCCCTCGTCGTCAGATTGCAGGCCCGCCCTTAACGTTGCACATTAAGCACCGCCAGCTTGCTCGCAAATCCGCATCTCATCGCGTCTCAAACGTCACACCACCTGCCAAGCGCCCAAAGCAAAATTTGCTCAAGCAGACAACTTCCCCCACCGCACCTCGGCTTGAAAGAGCCCCCGGCGACCTGCCCCTGCTGCGAGAACGCATGTTTTACGCCCTCGACTTGAAACAGGCTATCCGACCTAGTTTTGTTCTGCTTCGCGTATGTCTCGTAGAACTTGCACCAGAGCATGAGGCAACCAGCTGGAATTGCCAAGCCCTCACTTTGTTTTGTCTTGTAGACACCATCTTCACGAGAGGGAGCTCGAAAACTGCTCGCCAGTATTTTCGGCAGCACTTTAAAGCCAAATGGGAAACTTGAAGCCACTTTAATTCCCATCTTTCGCCAACTCTTGCACAACACTCAACAAGTTGGTCCAGCTCCAAGTGGCACCGACCTGATGCCTGTCACATAGCTCGGCAATCGCCAGCACAAAGTCTCCACTTTTTGCTCTCATTGCTGCTGGTCCTTCTACTCCTACTGCCACTTGTTGTCTGCCCTCCATTAGCTGCACTCGCAGTCACAGCTAAGCGAGATCGCCTCGCGCGTGAATGCCATTCACCGCACAGCTCTTCAACATCAGATGCGCCAAGAAGAAAGTTCCCACTTGGACGACCAGTTGGACGAAATCAATTTTGATACCCAGACTGGCTTGGCAGTGAGAACCCGCCCACCCCCACCTCCCCTTACCCTCCACGAAAAATAAATATCTTTCTTCCTGTAAAACGCCAACCTGATCACCTTTTGCCAATTTCTCATTTGCACCATTGCTCAAATGCAAAGGCAACTTCAGAAACTGTACAATGGCACCACATGGACCATGCTCAACTCGTGACGCTCGAATCCTCACGACACCAAGTCGCTGCTGTCATTGCCCAAGTCCTACAACGGCTTCTTCCTCCGCCACTCCGTCAACCATGCACCTTTTTCAATCAAGTCACACGCAAGGTTAATTGTCATCATCCCGTCCTCAAGCAAAGGCTCATGCCAGCTCGCTGCCTTACATTCGCTAGTAGCTGACCAGAGTTTGCTGCTCTACCGTTGACGTACTCGCGACATTTAATTGGCTTGATTTAATAGATATCCACCTGGTTAGCCTTGACTAGGCACGCCGCCATGACGCGCGAGTATTTTTTACATGGTCTGGCATTGGGTGACATCTCCATCTTCGGTCAGAATCAGCAAGGACAAGCCAGGACACGTGTTTGGCTTGTATGGTTGATGGAACAACTTGTGCCAGAGCTTGTGCGTGCCATCTACTACGTCACCGAAACCAGTCATCTCGGTGTCTCTGTACGATACTTTGACAAGCGCGTCTGGCGCCGCTTGGAGCAGCTGGCTACCAAATCCCCTCGTCTCATGTGAGCTTGTTGGCCAAGAAGATCACCCACACCTCGCAAGGCACAAGGCAATGAGCATGTCAAATCTTGCTAATGGCACGCATGGGACAATAGGTCAACGTTCAAGGCCTATACAGACGTGGCAGAGCTCCGTGAAGATTTACAGCACCATAGCCTGGGCTTTAGCTTTCTGCGTCTTTTGCCCAAACCCAACACCATGCGGTTTATTGTCAATCTTGGTCGTCCAAATGGTGGTTTCAGCAGTGCAAGAAGCAACAATCACCCTCGCACATCCATCAACGCCTTGCTTTCAGCTCCCTTTCGAGCTTTAACATTTGAGCGCAAGCGGTGAGAGAACCACGTTGCCCACCTCCCGCACATCACGGATCGCCCACCGGCTACCGCTTTTGTAAGGCTCTAAAATTTTTCGTGGGTGTATTCGGGTTTTGCAGGCACGCTGACCCGCTCGGCTGCTCGGTCTTTGGCCTGGACGACGTCTATCAGCGTCTAACTGCGTTCGCACTTCGCAAGCGCGCCTCTGCAGGTTGGAATCATGAGTGGCAATCAGCGATGGTGCATCCTGGCTGATGCTTGGACACAATTTGACATTTGTTTCGCTGCCTCGTGGCCACTCCCAGAGGGTGTACGCGATGCAGAAGATCTGCGGCTCCGAGTTCGACAACATCTTCATGTTGTGTCCATGGATGTGGAAAATTGTTTTGATTCCATTAAACAGGTGCGTTGTCATGTCACTTTTCATCCGTTCAACCGTCGCCTCTGGGCTCTATGCTTACCCCTCGCCCGTTCAGGATAAACTTTTCGACATTGTACAAGATGCACTTCAAGAGACAACCTACTTGCTGCATAAGCACGCTCGCATCATTCAAGCGAGTGGCCGGTTGCGTAAGGTGAGGGTTCAAATTCGAGGCAGGCGCAACTCTCAAAATCAATCGGTCGATGGCTGTCACTAACAAAGTAACACTTTGAACAGCATTTTGTCCACACGGCATCGGCAGGCGAGCAAGCTCCTGATTTTGGTAGTCTGTTGGAAGAGGTGTGTTTTTTTGGAAACAAAGTAATGCTTTGGTCACGGTCTGCTCTTCTGATGCTATGCATCTTCCGTACGCAGATGTGCGAGGATGGCTTGCATAATGCAGTTGTGATCGATCAAGCTACATACTCGTACTGTGATCGAAAAGAGCTCCTCGATGTGATCCGAGCTCACTTATTCCACAACATCATTAAAGTCGGCTCCACCTACTACCGACAAACAGAAGGCATTTCTCAAGGCTCTGTTCTGTCCACCATGTTTTGCAACTACTTTTATGGTGACCTTGAGCGCCGCTGGCTAGGCTTTTGCGCAGGAGAAAACTCGTTACTTTCTCGCATGGTAAGTTTGATGGCAGGTGCAAATGTGTCAACTCATCACTTGCAAGCAATTAATCCACTCGTTTTTTATGGCCTCAGGTCGATGACTTTTTACTTGTCACCGAATCTGAGGAAGTTGCCCTCCGATTCCTCGAGATTATGCGCACAGGCATCGCATCGTATGGCTGCAGCATCAATGATGGTAAAACCCAAGTAAGAAGAAAATCAGCCATGCAACCAGCATTGCTCCGGAGCCTTACGTTGTGTCTGCTCGTAGGTCAACTTTGACCCGCGAGAGTTGGCTCGTCGATCGCAAGCGTCATTGCGCGGCGCTGCGTCTGCATCGGCTTCCTCTGACCTGCCTGCTCCACAAGCTCGAACGGGCTCGCTTGCTGGGCCACCAACTCTGCTCTCATGGAGTGGTGTGGGTCTCGCCAAGGAATGGCTGAGTGGTACAGGGCCTTCCGTTAGCTTACCTGGCACTATACAGCGCGAGTGTGACACACAAGCTGACAATGAGCACGCCACAGGCGGCCATATCCGGCGAGATGGTTCAGACAACGCGCAGAGCGGCCTGGCCTCCCAGCCTGGCTTTATGGTGCAGAAAACATCTGAAGTGAGTCATCTGCGATTGTGGACTTATGACTCATTTGACTCATTTGGGTACTGACACGATCTTCTCAGGCTTGTGCTACGACCTGGATGCCCTGGTGCGGCTTGCTGCTTTGCACGTCAACATTGCAAGTGAAAAGCAACATTGATAAGCTGAGCAAGCTACCGCTAACCGACCAACTTGCTCTCAATCGGTGTGTGGGGCTTCTTGAACGAACATAAAGAGTGTTGCCAGTTGGGTTTCGCTAGCTAATCGCCGGCCTTTCTTGAAGCTGCCTTTGGAAGCTGGAGGATATTCGCAACAAGCTTTTGACATACCTCGAAACCAAATGTCATCCAGTTTTGCTCGATCATCGCATCAACAGTCTTGAGATCGTCGCGAGCAATGTATATCAAGTGAGTGGCTGTCAGTGCAGTGCAGCGGCTAATGACATTGACCAGCTGATCTTTTTTCAGTCTCTCACCATGCATGCAATGAATCTCAGATGTTACTGATAGCTGCCATGAAGTTCCACTGCTTGGTTCGGAGTCTCCTAAAGCACCAGCGTCCTTGTTCACGGCCTGAACCATTTTTGCAATGTATCCAAGATGGCATCGCGCACTTTTATCGCTTCTGCAATAGCAGGTACAGGTTTTGTGATGATCAGAACTTCAAGGGCGTTCGGGTGTTCTCATCTGGGGTTTTCGGTAGGTGCAAAAGTTTGGGCGATGTCCGCTTTGCACTATCAAGAGCTCAAGTTCAGTTTCTGGGGAGCAGAGCCTTTTGTCGTATAAGTCATCAAAAGCAAGCCGTATATGGAAACTTGGTGAGCATGGCCAAGAAATATTTTTCAGTGCCGTCACCAAAGTTGCTCATACTGTTTTCGGTTTGCCGCCTTTTTTTTTTTGTCATGGGTACATGCAGGTGCAACTGCTGGACAATTGGCACAAAGAACTCAAGTCACAACCACTTCCGCATCAGTGGTTGGAAGCCGTTGAGATAGATCTGAAGATGATTCGCTATTGATGTCGTTAGACTTCAGTTTAAAAAAAAGCGTCCATGGCTTGTTGCTGCCAATTGCAAGGCATCATGGTTTTGAGCATCAGGCTTTACCTGAACCAATCTAGAACTTCCTGGAACACTCTTGTCACTCTCTTCAAAAGCTCTCTCTGAAAGCAAGCCTCAACACTACACACCTCTTCGCAATTCTAAGTAGACCTTCACACGCCGGGAAGCCTGCCACTTATGATTCATGTCGATACGACAGCCTTGATGGTTGAGTCTCTACAGCGTGTGGAGGTCATTTTTGGGTTGTGAGGAAGCGCGGAAGTGTTGAAGAAATGTTTTCAAAGGGATTTGAGAGATGTCCAGATTGAGCGAGGTAGTTTTGTTTTTGATTTTGAAGATTTTGTTGCTGAGTATCTCGAGCTCAATTGAGCCAACTGCGGTCGGCAAGTTGTGGCCAGCAAGCATTGACAGTTACCCGACCAGTTGCACCGTTAATACCAATGTACAGGGAAAGTGCGACTTTTGCCCGTCAGTGTTATATTATGATAAGAAGAGATAACTATGGTCACAAGTCAGTCTCTGTCAAGAATTTGCGAAGTAAATGATGCGTGCAAGGCTTACTCATGCTTTCTTACGGAAGGCACGCTTCCAGAGCTGTGTAGTGTAAGGTGTGTGTGCATCAGTGCGTGCGTAGGGGCGCGTGAAGATGTACGTTCGTCAGTGAATGGAGTCGTACCTCTGGGAATTGCAAGCAAGGAGGGCCTTCGTAACTGACGGTGGGTGTGTATAAAAGCGGTGGAAGTGTTCGAATCCGTGAACGAAAGGATTTGCCGCTCACAGTGTATATCTGTGAATACCGTATGGTTGTCGGAAGACTTTTTTCATCGACGTGCGTGTAAAAGCTATAATGCGCTGCTTGGGCAAAGTCAAACACAACAGCAGAAAATGTGCGAGGCTAGCAGCTGATAGCCTAGCCGTGCCACTCCAAGACAGAGTTTCTACGAGATGAAGTGCGGAAGCGGGGGGCCATAGGAACGTGGATATCATATGATAAAGTCCCCCCGGGTGTGTGAAGCTTCACACACCCTGAAACCACACTTTGAGGATAATTCATTCGTTGACTCGTGGCTTAAGTAATTCCTTTGATTTTTCCTTTGTGCACTGCCGCAACCCCTTTCCCGGCGGTGCCTTGGGCCCAGCTCTGCCCGACCTGGGCATTGACGTGACTGTGCGCACGGCCCAACCCCCGACCACCTCGCAAGCCTGCATCAAGGTGGGCGCTGCCCTTCGCCGAGCCGAAAAGGATAAGCGCGACTACTACACCGGTTTCAACCATGGAAAAACTCTGATCGTCCCTGCGGCGATGACGACAACCGGTGGGTTCGCCTCCTCCTTTGTGGATCTGCTTGGTCAGCTCGCCCGCTGCGCCGAGGCCCGTGGTGTGTACCAGCCGGGGCTGGATGAGGCCTTTGTTCCTCGGTGGAAGGGTCGCTTTGCGGCGCTGGTCCATCAGATGAACGCTGACCACATCCAGCGGCACTTTGGCGGTGTCTGCCTACGCTCGTCGTAGGTCGGCACCGTCTCGGGGGTCCCTCTGTGGGGATCCCTTTGTGCACCAGTCGCTCCCTAGGTGGTTCTCGTTGTGTCTTTTGATGGTTTGACTTGTAAATTTTCTTGTAATTTTGCTTTAATTTCTGCTGTATTTGTGTGGTATTTTTGCTGAATTTTTGTAAGGTCCTTTGCATGATGTTTTTGTCTTCTGTGGTCGGTTGTTTTCTCAATCCGACGTTGTGTCTCGTTGGATGTGAGTGTGCCGTGGTGTTCTTTGTGTGATCGTGCTGTGATGGCTTGTACTTGTGATGTGTGACTGCCTTTTTGGGTGTCTTGTGTTTAAAATGGCCGTATCTCCGGTTATACTTGGTCGTTTTTTACGATTTTTGTTTCCTTGCGCGTGATTCTTTGCGCTTGTACTTCTTGGCATGATAGAAGCCGATGAAATTGTCCTGTTCTCCGTGTTGTTTGCCTGACGTAGTGATTTTGATGTCGGGGTTGCACAGCTTTGCTTTCAGCTCTGGGGTTCAAACACCTAATTTATTATATGCACAAAGCGATACTTGACAGCAATGTGCTTGGAGCCCGGAGAGTTGGCTCCGTTTGTAATCATGTGGATCGCCGCCTGGTTGTCACTGAACAACACGGGCTTGAAGACGGCGTGTGAGAGTTCACGAACCAAATGATCAACAAACATAGTCTCGCTGGCCGCAGAGTAAGCAGCCATAAACTCGGCTTCAGCAGTAGACGTGGCAGTGACCGTCTGCAGCTTGGAGCGCCACTGCACGGGTCCACCAGCGAGGTAGACAATGCAGCCTTCACGAGACTTACGACCAGTTTCTTGAGCAAAGCTCGCATCAGTGTAGGTCGTGAGGCGAAGGTGCTGGCCAGACCGATAAGTCAGACCAAGGTCCTTCGTGCCCTTGACATAGCGGAGCAGGTGCTTGGCAGCGTTCCAATGCTCTACGGTGTAGCAGCTGGCAAAGGAGCCCAGCATGCTGACAGCGGTGGCAATGTCAGGGCGAGTGTGAGTCATGAGGTAACAAGAGCTCACGGTAAGGGATCGACGGGTCAATGTCGATACTCCCCTTGTCGAGGCAAATGCCTGGACTCAATGGCATCGGCGCGGGCTTGGCATCGGTCATGTGAAAAGTAGCCAAGATATCGTCGATGTACTTTGTCTGCTTGATGGTCATGGTATCACCGTTGCGTGCAAACTCCATGCCCAGATAAGTCTCAATCTCACCAAGGTCAGTCATGGTAAACTTTTGCTGAAGGAGAGCCTTGGTCTGATCGAGGATGAGGCTGCTACTGGCAAACATCAGGAGGTCATCGACATAGACGGCGATCCAAATGGCATCGCGGCCATTGTTGAGAAAATAAACACATCGGTCCTTGAGGCAGCGAGTAAACTTCATCTCCGTGCACAGCTGGTGGTCGAGCATCTGGTACCAAGCACGTGAAGCTTGCTTGAGGCCATAGACAGCGCGGTTGAGCTTGCCATGAGTGTAGCCATTGAAGTACTGCTCAAGACCTTTGGGCACGGTGATGTAAATGTCCTCCTCGAGTGGAGCGTTGAGAAAGGCAGTCTTGACATCCATCTGGTGGATGATGAAGCCATAGTCGACAGCAAGAGCAATGAGGGTACGAATGGTCACCATATTGGCAGTGGGCGAGTAGGTTTCGTTGTAGTCGATGCCATAGAGCTGCTTGAAACCTTTGGCCACAATGCGTGCCTTGAAGGTGCCGTCATGCTTGCGAGCAAAGACAACACGAAGGTCGAGGGGCTTGATGTGAGCTGGAAGGTGATCTAGTCCTTGGATGACGTTGTGCTCGTGAAAG